AAATTAGTGGCAAGGAGGGTGTGAGAGGCCTGGTAGGGATTCAGCAAGGACAATGTAACCGAGAGAAATTACTGAAACCCAAATGAGGACTGAGCATGATAGTGGGACAAAAGGAAAGTAAAAGGAAATAGAGGAAAGAACTAGGTGACAAAGGGTATTTATAGAGATCTAAATACAGGCATGTACATATGTAAATATATTTATATATGATAGTGGGGAAATAGATCTATGTGCATATATTTACAGGTTTAGTATGAAGGCAGCAGATGGACATTGGACCTCCACTCAATTACTTACTCAATGCAAGAACACGTTGTCCTATTAAATTGGCATTCCATGATGCACACCTTCCTGACACGATTGCTGAAGACAAATGTATGCATAAGCAAATGTGGTGAAGAAAGCTGATGGTGCCTGGCTATCAAAAGATATAGCATCTGGGGTCTTAAAGACTTGCAGATATACAAGCAGCCGTCTAGCTGAGAAGCATCAAGAAGCACATCAGCCTGTGTGTAGAAGGGACCAGGTATCAGACATCAAAGAACAAAAAATTTTATCACTGGTGCCCACCTTCCAGATATGCTCACTGAAGACAAACGTGTGCATAAGCAAATGTGGTAAAGAAAGCTGATAGTGCCCGGTTATCAAAAGATATAGCGTTTGGGGTCTTAAAGGCTTGAAGATAAATAAGCAGCCATCTAGCTCAGAAGCAACAAAGCCCACATGGAAGAAGCACAACAGCATGTGTGACCAAGAAGTACCAAAAGGATCAGTTATCAAGCATCAAAGGACAAAAAAATCATATCATTGTAAATGAGGGCGAGCGGAGAGCGGAGACCCAAAGCCCATTGGTAGGCAACTGGACTCCCCCTTACTGAAGGGTTGTGGCGAGGAGATGAGCCAGTCAGGGTGCAGGGTAGGAACAATGAAACATAAATTTCCTCTAGTTCTTAAATGCTTCCTCGCCCCCACTATCATAATCCCAATTCTACCTTACAAATCTGGCTAGA